GCGGGTTTTGGTCCCGTTGATTACAGTGGTCAATGTTTGTAAATATTGTGATGCACTTTCTGAGCGTGCCAACGCGGATGTGACGGTTTCATCGTTTCGTACTGGCTGTTCTGAGGAAGTACTCGGTTGATTTTCAGAAGTCATCAATGTTTTTACCGCAGTTTGATTTGATGGATGTTGCTACCACTTGCGGTACCTTTACAAATATGACTGATGATTCGATCCGCATTTGTTGCATTTAAAGATTCTGGTAACAATCTCGTGTGCGTGGCCTTTTCCGGCACAACGGTAGCAACGTTCTCTTTATTTAGCACCAGCATCTTTTTGGTCATACGACATGGGACAATGTATATGAAAATGGAATTGACCACAAAAATGCACTTTGGTTTGTGTGTGTCGTTCACATCTGCTACATCTGGCCTATAGACTTCCTTTGCCTTCTTATTCTCTTTCCAGGGTATTCATTTCTTTTTTTTCTAACTCGTTTCAACATCATTATTATTTAGTTCTCAAGTCTATTGGTTAATGTTGGGATCGAGATTTATTTATTTATTTTTCCAAAAAAAAAATTTTCAGAAACCTATATGGAACATTATGAACAAAAAAAATCGGTTGCACTTTTTCATGAACAAAGACAAACTATGAAAATGACAACAAAGTAAAATTAAGTGCCCATCTTTTTTTTGGTAAGAAAAAAAAATTAATGTCATCTTGCGATTTTTTTCCACCACCATAATCATCCATAGTCTAGACTCTAGAGCATTTTTTTTCAATGGGGCAAAAATAGATATACAAACCAAACATCTGACGACCAAAAAAAAAATAAATAAAAAATAAATGAAGAGAAAATGTTGCTGGTCTTTTTATTCTGGTTTTTGGATTGTAAAATTTTTTTCATCAATTGAACCAAAAAAACAAACAAACAAACAAACAAAAAAACAATAGATTAACCTATTGATCGAATCCGAATAACATTTTTCTATTGAAATTCATATTATTGAACAAAACAAAAAAAAAGTTTTCTCGAAAATTGTCATTCATGTGAAAATGTTTGGGGCTAGAACCACAGTGACAAGATTTTTTTTTCTATTATATCGACAATCATTTAAAACACACACACACACACACACACACACACACACACACACACACACATTTATAAATATAGATTTTGACAATGATCAAAAAATCGAGTGTTCATTATCATCATCATTTATAGCAGTTTATTACATTTTTTTTTCAGTGAACGTTTTTTTTACATTAATATATTCTCGATTGAATGATCAAAGATGATGATGATAATGGAGAATAATTTTAAATTTTAGAATTTGAGATTGGTACATACAAATGAGAAATGCAAAAAAAAAGTAGAGAATAAACCACTTCTCGTTATTCCGGAAAAAATGGCTCTTTTTCACTAAAACATGATACCGGTTATATACAGAATTACAATATATTAATATATTGAACAATTTTTATTCAACTTTTTTTTATTCAACGATTATCATCATCATCGTCATCATACTGTTATATTGATAAGAGCTAGTTTTTTTTCTTTAAAAAAAAGTGATGATGATGAAATAAAACATGGGTTAAAAAACAACGAATGAAAAAATATGAAAGCAGAATCAATCTGAAACGACAAAGGCACACACACACACACACACACACACACAATGGCCATATCTTGAATGTAAAATCTATAATAATATCTATACTACCGTTGTTGTTGGTTCCTATTTTATATTATGATGATGAAGCCGAAATATATTCGGTTAGATTTTACCATTTTGATATTGTTGAAAATTTTTTTTTTCATTTCTATTTTTTTTCCACGCGTACACTTTACACTTTATTGAATTTTCTATTTTTTTTTTTTTTTCTCTCTTTTTTTGCTGTTACTGTTGCTGTTGTTGCTTTTCATCATTTATATTCCATTTGAATACGGGTGGTGAAGCAAAAAAAGAAGAAGAAGAAGAAAAAAAATACAGCCAGTGGATCATCATCATCATCATCATCAGCCTAGATCAGAATTCAATGATAAATACCATTGAAAAATGGATAAATCAATTCTTTGTGCCATAATAAAACTTAGTTCATTTTCATGTACTTCATCCATTCATTCATTCATTCATTCATTTTTTCTGTGAAAAAAACTCCTTTTTTTATCATAATAATAACAACAACAACAAAAAACTTGCTAGACAAAAAAAAAGAAACGTTTGGTTTGTTTCAATTCATGATACGAATACATACGAGAACATTACGCGGCTAGATTTCAATGAATGGATGCTAACAATTTTTTGTTTTCTGGCCTTACATAAATGCCAAATGACCAAAAAAAAACATTGGTCTATCTATTGAAAACTGAAGAAAAAAAAATAAGAATATCACGTTCAATAACTTGAAATTCATGCAACAAAAAAATGAAAACGAATTTCATTTCATTTTTTTAGCTGTCGTTATCGACAGTACATCAACACCTTTCAGCTGAACGCCAAACAAACAAACAAATAATCGAAAATTTTTGATCGACAAAGAATCTGAATTTTTCAATTTTTTTTTTTATTCACTGATTTTATGAAACGTTTACTGATGTTTTTGATGATGATACAACATAACACACTTGAAACGTTTTTTTTTCCGGAGCCAAAATAAAAATGATGCATGTATTCAATGATTTTTTTTGTTTTGTTTCCTTTATTTACAATTGTTACATCATCATCATCATGATCATTTTCAATATACACAAAATTGAATGGTCAGAACAAAGAAAACAGCACATAAAAAATTCGGATACAGAATACGAAACAAACAGATGTTGATAATGATGGTTGAAAAATAAAATTATATTGAATCGATAATATTATTTTGATAAAATTTTCATTTGAACACACACACACACACACACACACATACATGCAAATCTTTAGTATCCATCATCATAGTAATGGATATCATCATCATCATCAACAACAACATAAAAAACAACAAAATGTGGCTAACCAAAACAAAATGAGTGAAGGAAAAAAAACATTTTCTGAGAAATAATGGAAAAATTTTTATTTTTTTCTCATTCATTCGAAAAAGAATCAAAAAAAGAGTTGTTTATAAATCGATAAATCGAATATACTGGATTGTATATGGAAATTTTCATTTCAATTTTCCAACCATACATTGACCAATGTTGTCAAATTTTTTTTGTCACTAAAATCCAATCTCAGATATACTGAATACTAACTTTGTGTATTCAGTTTATCAGATTTTAATTTTATTTCAACCAATTTTTCTTTGTGTATGAATCTGAATGGAATGTTTTTATATATATTCATTCATCTTAACGCATCGAAAGCAAAGAAAATTCAATGTTGTAGTCATTGCAATAACAATGATAATAATAATTTTTTCATTTTTATTTGATATCAAAATTATTTATAACTTCCGGCTGTTTATTATAGCAATTGTTTTTGTTGTTGTTATTGTTGTTGTTGTTGATTTCACCAGAATATCATACAAAATTAAATCATCTAAATTACAAAGATTTTCAAATACGCGCTGACCATAAGTATATAATTGTTTGTTTTCAAGTTTATTGTCTATTCTGACTAACAACAACAATCAGATAATCATAATCAATTTAATCATAATCAAAATCACCTTTATGGTGGATAGAAACAAAAACTATTCCAAGTTTTATATCATCATCAACAATCATGATTGCAAGAAAAGCAATAAATATTTTTCTTGTCTCTTTTCAACTCTTGAATCCAAGGCCTATTAGTTTTCATGCATAATGGATAGATTCTTTTTCATATATGACATGACTATGACAATATTATGAACATGGCAATCATAATAATGATTGTGAAATTGGAATATGGTGTGCCAGTGTCTGTGCGTCTATTGTAACATTCAAATAACAAAATAAAAGAAAAAAAATAATGATTTGTTGAGATTCTGGTCTGTTAGATCCATATTATTAATAATAATAGAACATAGACTCATGTTTATTGGTTCGATGATTTGATTTGGTGCATATATGAAAAAAAAAAATAACAACAACAACAACAACTAACAAACCAGAAATAAAATATTCTGAAATTTCCAACAAAATAGTTATGATCATCATGATGATGAATAGCAAAAAAAAAGAGAAAAGAGAAACGGAATATATAGTAGAATTGGAATATCAAAAAAAAAAACAACTTTAGATAAAAAAAAGTCGAAAAAAATGTGAGAATCGATAATTGAAAATTAGCGTGGCTCGAATCCAAAAATGAGTGTTTGGTACGGTTCATTTTTGTAATCAGAATAAAACAAACCCAAATTGAATAAATTGTTAGAAGTGTTCTGTATGCATATATAAATCTCTATAGGTCAATCAAAATCAATGGCCACACTATTCCTATACTTTTATGCGCGAGAAAAGGAAATAAAATAAATGCAAAACAAAAAATCATTGATCATCTCATTTGCTAAGCCTAGATATTTTGAAATAAAAGTTCATTGAATGTAGCGGTGATTAATGTTTTTGTTTTGTTTTTTGTTTTTTTTTTTTTTTTGGTAGCCATCCATGTTTTGATTTTGTTACCATCATATATATTTGGTTTATTGTTTTAGAATTTTTGAGAATACTGGTGAAAAATATGAAAATGGATATTTTTTGACAATTTGTTTTTTTTTCGCAACACCAAAATAAACAATCTATATGAATACTGAAAGACATTATGATACATTATGTAAATGGCATCAGTCAATATGACTTATAAAACAACAACAAAAAAAAAAAAGGCAAGGATCATTAAATTCTCGAAGAAATAGAGAAACGTGATTTGAATCGACTTGAATAATGATTTATGATCATCAAATGTTAGGTATCTAGCTTTATTTATGTGATTGATTAAAGGTAGGGCTACCATATTTTTTCAAACAAAAGTCCGGACTAAATCCAGACGTATGGTAACCCTAATTAAATGAAATAAAAAGTACAACATAACTACCTGATGATGGTCGATTAGTGGAAGGTGTGGGAACATAAATATTTAGATATAAACAATCTTCCGATTGATTGCCAAGCATCGGTATAAGACGACGTAAATATTCATAACGAGCACGTGGCATCCAACGTAAGGCTTCAGTTTCATTTCTTGAACGAATAGCATGATAATCACGAGCCGGTATATGCTGTGGACAGACTGGACGTAAACGTGTTACAAGACGTACACCACGCCAATGTGTTGGTGTAACCGGTGGCATAAAACGTAAACCGCCGGTTGGTGGTGTTGCATATGGTACACCTAAATATGTTTCAACATCCGATAGAACTATGGATGATGATGTATGTGATGAGGAAGACACTTGTGGATATGATGATGATGATGATGACGATGAGGAAGTTGAAGATAAGGAACGTTGTTGATTATTATTGTTTCGTGATAATTTAACTAAATGACCACGTATTGAACCATATTTTGTTTGTATGGTTCGTGGTGATAATGTAACCGATTCGGTAGCAATATTTTGCGATGATGATAGCTTAAGATTACTATTTGCATATTGATGAGCAATCGTTTCGATTAGAATTGATTGTTGTTGGGATGATGATGATGATGAACTAAATGCTTTGGCAGAATAGGGCATCAATAAAAATAACAAGGATGAGAATTGTAAAAATTGATAGACTCTAATGATGATGATGATGATGATTTATGGTCATATATACAAAACGATTCTATACTATGACGATTATTATGGTGATGATGATGATGATGATGAAATGTTGACATAATTGTGGTTATAAATGATAATTTGTAAATGAATATTTTAACTAATGATTTTAAAGGATATTTTCAACAAAAAAAACAACAAAAGATAACAGAATGAATAAACACAACCAATTACGAATGAACACAAACATTGAAAAAAAAATAAATAATGGAGGTTTTAAGACGTTAGTTTTGAAAATTTGAAATCAGAAATAAAAAAAAAGATAAATTTTTGAAATTCAAGTTTTGATACGGGCAATCAAAAGAAAAACTTTCAGAAAAACATTAGGATCGTTTTATGATAACAGAAGGCTGGCCAACACACACACACAAAAAACATATCTGATAATGAATGAATGATAAAATCATATTGCCCGCAAGTTTTCACAAACAACAGCAACAATGTTGGCCATCATTAATCTGATTATCATCATAATAAACATGGTGGCGTATTTTATTTTGTTGTTGCAGTAGGCTGAAGACAATCTTTTTTCTTTTGTTATTGTTTCGGTCAGCATAAAGATTTGTGATTCAAAATGATAATGTGTGTGCAATCATTGATTGAATTGGATTTTCATAAGATGTAATTTCTGAGAAAAAAAAATTTTTCGGTTGTTTATCTTTTTCTTTTTTTTTTTTTATTTGACGAAAAAAATATGAAATCACATTTCAAAAAAAAATTTAATCGTAAGCAAATTTTTTTCCTTTGTCTTTGTCAAGCAGAAATAAATGTCTGATGTGGTTGTACCATTTGGTTGTTAATCATTAGGATGAAAAAGACGGTGGCTTTTTTTTATTGTTTCATTATGTCACAAGCACATCACATCACATAAATCGGATGATGATGATGATGATCACATTGATGATGAGGATGATAATGATAATGATAATGATTTGGTCGATATCAACACGAAAACATTACGTGATTCCAATTGAAAAACATGTCGCATCATCATCATCATCTTATGTCAACAAATAAAAGGTCCATGAAAAAAAAGCTAGAGCGGATGGATGAAAAAGATAAGAAAAATATCGGTAAAATCTTTTTATTTGGTTCTGGAAAACTTTTTTTGATGTGCGTGTGCGTGTGTTTGTGTGTGAATGAAAAGAATTTTTTTTTTTTTTTTGGCCGGAATCGGAATTCTTTAGTATCTGATCTATGTTAATTTTTTTTCTTGTAATTAAAAAAAAAATATTTAAACGATAGTTTTTGAAGCGTACAAGTTACCTTTAAAAACAATTTTTTTTAAAATGATTTTCACTACAAAAATTTAGATTAAACAAGCAAAAACAAAGTATGAAAAGAATAATGAATTTTTTTTTCTCGCCAAGTAAGAATTCCAGCTGGGTGTTGGCTGTTTTTTTTCAGTTGAATTTTTACAGATTTATTTTTACTTACTTTAAATTCCAAATTCTATGTACTCATTGAGAAAAATCATCGTCATCAGAATATTGGTATGGCAATGGACAAACGGCCAACAACGAAAAAAAAAGTTCAAAGATGAGAATCTAAAATAGTTAAAATGAATGATGAAAGAATTATAATCAACAATTCTGGAATGGAATAAAATGTATTTCATTTCTAGCTAGTTCTAGCATCGGCGGCTTGTTATTGTGAGCAACATGATTTCTTTTCATATCTATAGTGCACGTCTTTGGAATATTGACGAGGCAGAAGAATTTCAAATGTGGAAAAAAAACGAAAGAAAATACTACATGCAGACTCATGCTACGTAACGTACAAAAAAAAATAGACTATACGATAGTAAGAACTTGGAATGGAAATACAGGAATTTTACACCCCTTAATTTGTTGCAAATAAGAAAAAAAAATCGAGAATAAAAATGCAGAAAAGAAAAAACACATTATATTAATTAATTAGAACAGAAATAATAATTAGTTTAATTGAATTAATGAACGACAAATGACAATGATGGAAAAAAATATGCAATGATTGGTTGAATAATAAGAAAATTTTTATTCTATAGAATAAAAATACGAAGAATAAAAGAATAATTTAGAGTTAATGACAAGAAATTGTTTTTTTTTTATCATTATCGATGGAAAAATGATTGCAAATGGAATAAAAAAAATTCCATGCTATTAAAAATATTGAAATGATGATAAGGTAACGTATTGGAAATATGAAGAAATCAAATGAGATTGTAATCGATTATTGATAATGAAAAAAAAAACAAATTTCATCTACATTATTATTACAAATATTTGGTTGCAATCATATAAATTCAATCGGATTTGAAAATTTTAATTTTCATTAATATAATTGGTCATCAATGTTGAATCTTTTTTTCTGATCCTAAAACCACATGAATAAATTAGATTTATTTTGTGTGTTTTCTCTGTTCCTTTCAGAGAATTCATAGTTGAACATTTATATGGACAATATCAATGCAGAAAACAATCAAAAGTGTCCAGATAATTTTATGTTAGTCTATATGTATAATGTAATCATTGATACTCTGATGAGAATCATATTCTTTACATCAAAGATAATAATTCATATATACAAGAAAAATTAGACGAAAAAAAACTGTTTGATTCATATTCTGTTTCTAAATTCTTCATCATTTGAAATGAAATTTCCATTCCAATTCGATCGTAAACAACAAACGAAAGCAACAGCAAAAAAACAAAAAGAGAAAAAGTTGTTTTCACTGTCGTAAATCGTTGCCAAGTGAAATCTGAGCGCTTTACTTTTTTCTTTGTTCATATATGATTTTTTTCAAGCGAATAAATCGAACAGATCCATTTGAAGAAGCATAACTGGCAGAACAAAATTAGCGACAAAAAAAAAGAATTACAAATGGAAATGAATAGCCAAAGTCAAGTGTCGAAACAAAACAAAACAAAAACTGAATAAGTTAGAGATATATCGCATTTTCACATAAAAGAAAAACTAATTAAGTTATGTGTTTTTTGGTTATATCAAAGTAATAAAAAAAAAAAAGGCTTGGAATCAAAGAAAAATGTTACAGAAAATCTATTGTTTGATTTCCAAGAAAATGAAATGTTTTACAACACAATTTATATAAATCAGGACAATGCATATCTTTTCCTAAGTATACTTGTCTTTCATTTAAAAATGTCTAATTTTATAAATTTTTTTTTATTCGTTAGATTGTTATAATGAATTGGATTGCCATGGAGTTTTGGATTCCTATTGTTGATTAAAATATGAACAAAATGATTATTGAGGCAAGATAATGACTATGATTACCTATGTTGCATATGAGGAAAAAAATGAAAAAAAAATTTGTACCTATGTAATCTAAATGTAATCTGACAATAAATTTGGTGTTGAATTTGTTTTCTCTCATTTTAAAATTGTAAAATTACATTTGTGAAGTGAATAAAAATAATAGTGAGTAAAGAAGTAAAAGTCAATTTTAAAATTCTCTGTGCAAAGAAATAGCACTGAACTGAAAATGAAATCAGTATGAATGGATGAAATGAGAAAAAAATGGAAAAAAAAAAACACAGACACATTCAGGAGAAAAAAAAATAAAATCCTAAGACGGTGATAGATGAATTAACAGTAGACACACAAGAGAAAAAAATTTTAAACTTTTAATCTTCATTCACGTGAAAAAAGGAGTGAATCACGGAATTTTTTTTTTGTTGTTGTTACCTTTTTCTAGGAACAAAGAAATGAAATAAAGAAAATGAGAAACAAGAAAAAAAATTAAAATTAGAAAGAAAACAGCACCAGAATCTTGAAGATTTAAACTTCATTTTTTTTTGAATCTTGAAATTAAATGAAAAGCAAGCATATTTTATTCTCGGCTTGTGGAATATAAAATCAAAAACAACAACAAAAAAATGAAATAAAATGAAATGAAATCATGAATAAGTAAGTTATTGTTGATTATAGCCGGGATTCTCTTCCGTTGTATCACCATTCTTGGAAAGTGAACATGAATGAAACACAAATCTTGTGATTCTTAAAAAACATACACACACACGACTGAATTTTTGAACTAGGTTTTTTCTTTCTCTTTTTTTGTTTTGTTTTATTCAACAATATTTTGTCGGTGCATTATTTTGAACATTTTGATAGATCATTAAAGATGCTAAGAGAGAGAGAGAGAGAGAATTTTTTTAAAAAAATCAAAAAACATCTGCATGTTTTTTTTCGTTTGTTCAAAAATACTTGCAACTGTGTAACGATTTTATATAGACTTATTATATAATGATGATCTTCCGTAAGTAAGTTAGAGGAGGATTGGTCGCAATGTTTAATGGATTTTTAAAGTCGTGTTAGTGCATTCTTTTGGATTTTTCTCCAAAAAAAAAACAAATATTAAATCAAAAATTCTATATTCTCAATGATGCCATCATCATCATCATTGAAAAAAGATCAAGAATTTGAAAGAATCTTACCAAAGAAAAAAAACAATACAAGAAAACTGCCACGTGATCAAAAAAAAGTCAATGATGCGATAATAGAATAGGACATAATTATCTAAAAATTTCAATTTGAAAAAAATGTTGGCCAACATTTGCGACAAAAAAAATACACTCCGATTTGTTTATATAAAACTTGTTGTGTTTGCTAAAATTACAAACAAAAATTTTTTAGAAACTCTTCTACTAGAAAATCTTAGGAATTTGAAATTAAAAACTTGTGGAAAGAAAGAAAAGAAAAAGTTTTTCATCATATTTGCCTAAATGATTCTGAACTATGGCGAAAAAAAAATCAAATGTAGGGGAAAAAATTTCCTCATTCATTCAAGTTGATGATATTTATTCAGAATGATTGCAGATGCATACAATCAAAATAATCAATATATCAGCAATTGGCATAATTCATGCGAAAAAAAAAGTGCAAAAAAAGAAGAATTTGTTTTTTTTGCATAACAAAATTGGAATGAATATCAGAAAACTTTCTTCATGAACTACAATTCTTTTAATGATTTGATAGGCTTTGCGTGTGTGTGTGTGTGTGTGTGTGTGTGTGTGTGTGTGTTTGATTCTTCTGATTCTTTAGCTGAATCAATGTTGGATGATT